AAGCTAGATCAAGGGGGTTGATTGATCCAAGCTTGCTCAGCAATCTTTGGAAATGAGTAGAGCCGAGAGCTTTTGTAAACAAGTCAGCAAGTTGATCATAACTTCGAGTGTACACGGTGTTGATGACTTTGGATTGGACTTGTGCTCGGATGTAATGGCCATGAACTTCAATGTGCTTTGTTCTTTCGTGGAATACCAGATTTGAAGCTATATGCATGGCAGCTTGGTTGTCACAAAACAAGGACATAGGTTCCTTGTTAACGCAACCAAGATCCGTTAGGAGACTTTTTAACCAAATTAATTCACAAGCCATGGCTGCCATGGCTCTATATTCAGCCTCAGCACTTGATCTTGCAACCACGGTTTGTTTTTTACTCTTCCATGTCACAAGATTGCCACCAACAAAAGTACAGAAACCAGTGGTAGACTTCCGATTGAGGGCATTACTCGCCCAATCAGCATTAGTGTATGCCATGATATAATTTGAACCATGTTTTTGCATGAGTAAACCTCTGCCAATGGATCCCTTCAAGTATCTGAGTATCCTTTTGACACTCTCCTAGTGAATCATCGAGAGAGAGTGCATAAATTGATTGACAAAACTTACAGAATAAGCAATATCAGGTCTGGTGATAGTGAGGTAGATTAGTTTTCCTACCACGCGTTGATAAACCCTAGGGTTTGGAAGTGGTTAACTGGGTGCATCTACTTGAAGTCTACTCACCAGAGGAGTAGAAGCGGGCTTGCAATTCAACATGCCAGCTTCATCCAATAGATCAAGAACATACCTCATTTGATTTAAGAATAAACCCTTGGAGGAAGTAGCCATTTCAATGCCAAGAAAGTACTTTAAGATTCCCAAATCCTTAATGGCAAATGTTGATGAAGAGAGGATTTGAGGGCATTGATTTCTTCTATGTTATCACCTGTTATAATAAGATCATCAACATATAGAAGAACAACTAGTTTGCCACTTATACCAGTGCGAACAAATAACGAGGAATCGGCATGGCTCTTTGTAAATCCTGCAGCTTCAAGGACTGAACTTAACTTCGAGTACCAGGCTCGGGGAGATTGCTTCAGTCCATATATGGCCTTATGGAGCTTGCAAACTTTGTTAGTTTCATGCTCTTGTGGATGTTCGGGAGGAAGCTTCATGTACACCTCCTCTTCGAGGTCACCATGAAGAAATGCATTCTTCACATCCATTTGAAATAGGGACCAATCGAGATTGACTGCCACAAATAACAACACTCGTACAGTACTCATTTTGGCTACGAGAGAAAATGTCTCTTTGTAGTCAATGCCATAAGTTTGAGTAAAGCCACGGGCTACTAAACGAGCCTTATGTCTTTCAATATTGCCATTTGAATGAAACTTGGTCTTGTATATCCACCTACTTTCTACTGCCCTTTTTCTTTTTGGAAGATCAACCACACTCCATGTTTGGTTGTTGTTTAGTGCTTGAAGCTCTTCTTTCATAGCTTTCTACCATACTAGAATGTGAGCAGCTTCATTAAAATTTCTTGGTTCATCATTAGTGGACAGCTGATGTAGAAAGGCTGTATGAGATGGTGACAGTTTTTTATAGGTTAAGGCTTTGGAGATGGGATGTCTTGCCGTGTACGTAACATACTCTTGCAGCTTTAGAGGAAGATGTCTGTCACGAGTAGGGTTTCTTCGTGGTGCCAAGACAGGTTGAGGAGTAGTGCTTGAGCTTCCTTGATCATGAGATGTTTCTTCATCATCATGTTGTTCTAAGTGGTGGTCGAGATAAACATTAAATTCATGTAGATTTGTTGGAATGGGCAAAGGAAAAATGTCCAGTAGGTTATCCCCTTGAGGTTTTTCACTGCTATTTTTTTTTTAAAGAATGGAGCATTCTCATCAAATCGAACATCCTTTGAGACACCAATCTTTCCATTATGAGGATTGTAATATTTGTATCCTTTTTTAGTGCTTGAGTATCCCATGAAGGCACTCTTGACAGCTCTGGGATCGAGCTTGTCTCGATGTGCAGCTTGAATATAGACATAACATGTGCATCCAAAAGTTCTCAGGTGTGAGATGTCAATAGTTCTTCCCTTCATTACTTCAACAGGTGATTTTGAATTCAATACACGGATAGGTAACCTGTTGATGATGTAGGCTGCAGTGAGGAGAGCCTGAGACCAAAACCTTCTAGGAACATGCATTTGAAGCATAAGAGATTTGGATTTCTCTAATAAGTCACGGTTTTTCTCTAGACTACACCATTCTGTTGTGGTGTACCAACACAGTTGGTTTGATGTAAAATCCCATGATTGCTCAAATAATTAGACATATTGTTAGATGTATACTCAGTGCCATTATCCGACTGTAAAATGTTTAACTTAGAGGAGAATTGGTTTAAGATTGATGAAAGTCTTTGAAAGCATCAAAGAATTCACTTTTGAATTTCAAGAGGTAAATCCAAATGCAACGAGAATAGTCATTAATAAAGGTGGTATAATATTTATATCCATCAAATGATTATACACGGGAAAGATCCCAAATATCTGAATGAACAACCTCAAACAGTTTACTGGTTCTAGACTTGGAAGAAACAAAAGGAAGCCTAGTAGCTTTTGACATTTGACAGACTCACATTCATGTGTGGCTTTACAAAATTTTGGAAATAGTTTGTTCATCACAGGTTCTGAGAGATGGGCCAATCGAAGTGCCAAAGTTGGTACTCTTGAGGAAGACTTAGGTTGGCAAAAGGATGCTTAACAAGCTTGAGCTTCTTTGAAAGATAGTAGAGTCCATTCAATAGAACCCTTCACCAATCTTCTTCTGGGTGACTCGATCCTGAAATACAACATTGTGAGGGGAGAATATGGCAAGGCAATTTAGTGTGTTTGTGAGTTTTCCTATGGATAAAAGCTGGAAGGGAAATGAAGGCACATACAAAGTTGTTAACTCAATCTCATCACTTAACAGTTTAAGTTTACCTTTTCCCATAATAGGTTTTCTTTTCCCATTTGCTACAGATACAAGTGAAGACTCAAGCATATTTTGAAACTTATCTAAGCAAGATGACTTATTTGTTATATGATCTGTGGCACCTGAGTCTATGATCCAACAATCATGCGTAATTTCATTGAGAGCAGTGGAGAGGGCAGAGATAATACTTGAAACATTGTCTTGCGTTGTGGTCTCATTCAAGAAGCCTGCAAATTTTCCAAGCATGGCAGTAGGATTCTTAGAGATCACTTCCTTTTCCTCGGTGGTGCCTCCTCTCCTTTGAAGAAAGCTTCCTGAGTCTATGGGATTTGCAGTGAAGTTTGGTAAACCACCAGTCAACGAGCTAGTTGAATGGAGAGCCTTTGGAAAAATTCCCTTGCCTTCTTTGATCATTCTTCCTTCCTTATCAAACTTTAGCTTTAACTCTAGATGTAGGATCCAGCATTTTTCCCTTATGTGCCCTTTCATGTTGCAGTACGTACATTTCCAATCTGCCTTCTTTCCAGTAAATGTTTTTTCACCAGTGTGTTTATGATTGCTGGTGAAAACCCTTGCCTCAGAGTTGGACTTGGGTTCAATGTGCATGACTTTTCTTTGAGTTTCCTCCCTTTGGACAACTTGACAAACACTATTAAACGAGGGCAGATCTGCAGTCATCAGCAAGTGACTTCGAAGATCTTCATATTATGCTCCAAGACTTGCCAAAAGTTGAAAGACTTTGTCTTCATCGGCTCTTTTGAAGAGTGCAGTAGAATCTGTTATATCTGAACGATACATGTCAAGTTCATTCCACATGGACTTCATGCTCCCAAGGTGTTGCACGAAGGATTGATCACCTTGCCTTAGCCCAGTGAGATCCTTCTTGAGTTGAAATATACGAGCAGCATTGTTTTGGCTGCCATACATCTCTTTGATAGATTCCCACAAAATATGAGAGGATTCTGAGTAACTGAAGAGTTCAGACAGCTTAGGTTCCATAGAGTTAAGTATCCAAGACATAACAAGCTGATCGTTTGCATGCCATGCACCATACGATGTAGAGGATGGTTCAAGTGCTTTAATCCTTCCATTGGCATACCCTAACTTCGATCTTCCACCTAAGGCAAGAGAGATGGCGCGAGACCATGGTAGGTAATTAAACTCGTTTAATAACACTGAGCATAGGCACAAATTTGGATTGATTTCACCATGAATCACACTGGAAGATAAAGTGTTTGATGAGCTTGTTGCCTCTCGGCTTAAAGTCTGGTCTTCTGCCATGACAGTGAACGAAGAGCAAAAGACACCAAGAAAGAATGAAATTTTTTTGAATGGAATGGATTGAATAACAGAGGCAGGACCCTATGATTCCTGCTCTGATACCATGTTGAGATTTAAGTTCAACAAAATATCTATGTATTCATGAAAAAGAATTACAAGGGAAAGGTCTCATAAAAAGGAGACGAAGCAAGGAAGGAAAAACCTACCCAATAAACAAATGCAAACAGCTACAAAGTAGTAGCTAGAGAGAAAAAGGTTAGCCCTAGATACAACTCACAAGAAATCTCCTAGAAGACATAAACCCTAAAATTAAGGAATAAAAGGCTTGCCCTAAATACAACTCACAAGAAATCTCCTAGAAGACATAAACCCTAAAATTAAGGAATAACACTTTAACACAAAGTGATGGCCACCCATCAGTTTCAATATCGTGTTACAGGGTAAAATCTTCTTAAATTCATTATGTTCTTTTCTCATTCTTGTGTTAGCGCGTATTCTTTCGTTATCACAGAGTTTAGTTTGTCTAAATTCTTTTCCTTGTGGTGAAATTTAAATTCTTAGACCATTCTGTGTTGCTTTTACATAAACAAAAAGAAAGCGAATACATCTGCTTTCTTCAAGAAATACTTTCCATCTGATTATGTTCTCCAACTTATTCGCTTTCTTTTTGTTGTTGTTGCATGTGTAATTAATGGAAATTAATCAAGAGTTTATGCACTTAATTGGTGATTATTGTTTTTTTATTGAATTCTCAGGTGAGAAACTTAAAGTTGAAGAACCCCTTCCAGAGGTAAGCCAGATAATATTATGACAGAAAACTGCAGTTTCATCTTGGCAAAATGTCATTTCCACCTTGTGCTGTTTATTTTCGGACGTAGATTTTCTGCTTTTGTTTGTTAAATTGCCTTGTTTCCTTTAATCCCTAGTTAGTAATGAATCTGCAGAGTTAGATGGGGATCAGAGAGACTAATTATTTGGGACTGGCTTTCGACAATGAAGCAACATAAGGCTTGTGACTCAACGGATTACTAAGTTTGTAGTAGAGGGAAAGTGAGTAGTATTGGCTTGTATCTGTGTATGTATTGTCTATCAACATAATCACACTCTGCATTTGTGATCCTGTTGGAATTTGTATGCCAAACTGTTGAACTCATTTATGTTTATGTTTGCTCTCCTATCAGAATTTGCTTTCGTCTATGAACAAGACACGCCTATTGCTTACAGGGTAGGCGCGCAGATTATGTGCCCCTTATAAAGGTCGTACCCAGTGCACAAGGCTCCCGCTTTACGCAGGGTCTGGAAGAGGTGAATGTCGGCTAGCCTTACCCCCATTTTATGGAGAGGCTGCTCTCAAGTCTCGAACCCGAGACCTACCGCTCATGGGCGAAGGCACTTGCGATGAAAATTACGTTAAATAGGATCCTTCAAATGAATCCCCTTTTTGTTGTACAACATGTCCAAACTAGCTAGTACGATGTTTGTTTTCGGTACAACACAAGCTTGTTCTTGGAGCCTTGAACGAATCAGGTGTTGGCAATGTCAACAATGTGCGCGTGGGCAACTCGCTGCAGTTGATTCTTATGGGGATCAACTTTCAGAGCCTCACCCATTGATGCAGCGGCATCTCTCTACAGAGGATTAATTAGTGAGTGACTGGTATAGCAGATGGAGTTATCGGAGGGGAACGGGGCAGCGAATCGACTAAGAAGGACTTGATGTGCTTGTGGTACTCCTTGGGCTTCTCTGCGTTTAGTGCATGCCCTGCATCCTTGATTACTACAAGCTGAGCGTTTTCTCCGACGTGCCTGTGTTTTTCCAAAGAATTCAAAACCCAGAAGAGTGAGCGACCGAGTGACTAAACAAATGCATTTGGTCAAAGACTTTAACTGACACACCTCGACCCGATTAACCTTCTAGCTAAGGGTGGAAATGTGTTGGCCATTACTAAATTGACGATAAAACCGTACCGTAGGAGTGACAGAAATACCATCAACTTAATGACAAAACCTTAAGTAAGGAAATTGTGATGTGAAATATTTTGAGCTAAGTATCAGAAAAACTGACCTTTTTAATTTGTGAGCATACTCAACTGGAAACACTTGATCATGTTCTCCCCAAATTATGAAGGTTGGCTGTGAGAGAAGTGAACAAAATTCGAAATTTATTGTTACTAACGTTGTTCTAAATTTTGTGAATTTTGCTTGAGATAGTCGCACTCGCATACTTGGGAGATTTTCAACAGTTGGCCCAATATGCATCAACGGTTGAAAATTACATAGTGAATGCGGGCGACTGACTCAAAGCATTTTTTTTTTTTTGGAAAAGACAAAGAAGAAGATTGAACCTGAGGAATCTTGGGGAGTTCTGAAAGTTTACGGTTTTGGGGGACGGCCCGGATCAACTCTTTCTTCTCTTGCACAAATTCGGTGAACATCGCCTGTTCATTTCAAATATTTTAATCGTTAGATCTTTATTTTGAAATATATAAATTAAAATTTACTCATTAAAAAATTAAATTACTTTGTACTCGGCACCGGAAAATTTTTACGTTATATAATAATTGCAACAATCACTTGCATGAAATTAATTTATTATTTCTTTTAAGACTGTATCGTACCGAAGAATGTTGACCGACAAATCTTATGACTGATTGTTTGATTTGTCAATTATCACACACACAATCAATTATTCAATAAAACGAGGGATTTTACGACTAATCCTTCCGGGGACAAGAATTTAAGATATGACTTAAAAAACTAAATTTACACGTGTCAACTAACTGTTGATTTGATGATACGTTCTTTACAATCTCGTTTCGTAAATTAATAAAAAGCTACAAAAAGGAGAAGTCAAATTTGGGTGTTTGTATGCGTATACGTAATATTTACAATTGTCAAAGGACAAGAAGATACTGCTGAAAAATGGACATATTCGACAAAAAAAGGACAATAAAGATACTGCCAAATGAAACGATTAAAATTAAAGAGATGTTTTACGAAAAACACTCAGTAAGGTTTATTTTAATGAAAAATCATATTTTTACATTAAAAAATTAATTCTAATACTATTTATTTTATCATTTATTTAGTCATCATCATTAAAACTCAAAGTTTTCAAACTTTTTTAATTAGTTTTCCTAAATTAAATGCATGAAAACTTAAAAAGTGTGTATTTACGTTTTTTGGTGTAACTGAAACTTTCATGTGCTATTAAAATTTTATTACATTATTAACTTGTAATTATTTTATTAGAATAATTTTAGATAGATCATATTTTATGGATCAGGATTCTCTCTTGAGCAGATGGAGAGATCCTCCTAACCAGGCCTATCGGACCTGTCAATTTTTATCCAACGGGAATAATTATTATAACTTTTAGAGGACTCCCCTGTTTGTAGCCGTTGGATAAATTTTGAACGGCCCGATGGACTTAGTTAAGAGGATCCTCTCCATCTGCTCAGGAGAGGATCCTGATCCATATTTTATATACTATATGATGAGATTGTTGATAATTGAATATCGTCTTTAATTATTTTAAAGAGTAAAGATAAATCACCCTTTTTGTTATGAATAACTTTCCATGTTAAGGGAATTATGAGCCACACAGAAGACTAACCTCAATCTAAGAAGAATGATTTTCCATGTTCAGGGAACTGGAATGCAATTAAAAATGAAACAAACTTGTTTTGTAATATTAAAATAAAAAAAAGCGGTTGGTGACTTCGGTTAATAACTATAGTATGATTTATCAGCGACAAAAATCGAACTTAGAATATGCTATGTATAATACGAACTTGGAATTCGTTGCTAACTGGTCCCTGGTGGTTAACTTGTTTTGTTATATGGGTAATCTCTCAGTCGGATTCAATTAGTCTAATAATTTAAGGACTATTGCAAAACAATTAAACGGGGATCAAAATATTAGCAAGCTTTTTACCTCAATGAAATCCATGAGCAAGCAAGAGGGCAACAACCCAACTGGAGGTGGCCTGAAAAACGTGTACCTAACCAACTCCCTCAGCTTCTGCGGCGTCTGCGGCGTCAAAATCCCCGCCGCCTCATCCAAATCCGAGATCCGAAACGCACCTTCCTGGAGGTCCTTCTCCTCCAGGCACACGGCGGCGCAGCATATCACAACCCTCTCCACCGCCTCCTTGTACCTGGCAGCCAAGCTGTACGCAACAAACCCGCCGTAGCTCAGTCCCACCAGGCTCAGCCGCCGCACCGAGTGCGCCTCCATCGCCTGCATCACACACTCCGCCTGGAACGACTCGGACCGGTCTGGCCGGGTCGTGTAGGAATCGCCGAAGAAGACGAGATCCGGCACGTAGACGTTGTAGTGAGGGGTGACATGGCGGAGAAGGTCTACGAACTGCCACATTGCGTTGAGGCCGAGGCCGTGTATGAGGAGGAGGTTGGGTTTGGAAGGGTTTGGGGACTGTGGGACCCAGCAGTGCATGGTGGTGGCACCGTCTTTGAGGTCGGTGATTGCGGACCGGAGGCCGGCTCGGGCGAAGGTGGACCGGTGGCATGAGTTTTTGGACTGGGTGAGGCTGAAGCATGGCATTTTGGGACTCTGTGTGGAACTAAATTGAGGAACGGGTGAGATTGCGTGGTACAATTTGGGTCGGTTTGAGGTGGGAGAAGGTGATGGCTGGGTCGGATTGGGCTGGCTGCACAATTTTCATGTGGATGTAATGTTGCATGGAAAGAAATAGGTGCGGAAACACGGGGAATTTATGCATATATGGGTTGAAAAGTAGTTGAGGAGGAGGAATAGGATGCTTTCGGTGAGTCGACTAGTCCTAGTAATAGTGTTGACATGGATGTGGTAGTTGAGAGCCACAAAGGGAGAAAATGAGTTTCAACGTCGACCTGTGTACATAGCCACCAGACACTATAGCGTGGGACTAAAATTAAAAGTGGGAGGTGTTAAAGTGTTTTGTACGTCTGTGATTAGAGGGTTATGTAATCTGGTCATCCATGTTGAGAATTGTCCTACATCGGTGAGAAACAATGTTTGCTATGTGCTTATATGATCTTGGGTTACTCCTCATATTGCCAATTGGTTCTATATAAGAACCTCAATTTCATCAATCCACACCTACGAATTTCTCTAATAAATGAATCAAACTATTGATCAATTGATTTTTATCAAAATGTGTTCAAGTTTAAGAAGAGAAGCAATGCCCATAATTCATATGCAAAGATGGCACTTCCTAATAGAACAATATCTGCAAAGAAAATGATAAAATGAACTAACCTTTAACTTTTCACACACTCTAATTTAATTATATTTGTTGTATTTATAATAAGTTGACGATTAGAAATAAAGAGAGTGTTTAAAGTTAAAAAATAAATAAATAAAGTGTGAAAAATCACCTCCGTATCTCCAAATATATGACCTTTCGCAATGTTGTTTTCATTGACCCAACCAAGTGAATAATGTTGTTTATATTGATCCAATTCAAATTATAACCAACCTGAATTTGGTTGGGATAAAAAATTGCAGTAGTATATTAAGAATAAAAGCTTCCAATAGCTGGTGTGCATATTATCTATGGAATCGCGGAGAATGCTCCTGTAGAAAGCAGATGATGGAAGTATATTTAGGTTATAATTATGTTCGAACTGGAGGATGTAGACAAGTTTGTAGTTTGTAGATGCAAACTGTACAAATTTCATCACAAAAACAATGACATATTTACTGAAAATCTTAAAAGTAATGAATCAGTGTGAGAATATTTGTATGAGATGTGAGAATTATTTATGTTCCACGTTTTTAGGTTGTTTGATGGAGGATACAAATGAGTGGCCTTCCCAATTACAAGATGTGAGAATCACCTATGTTTCACATCCTTGGAAATGAGGTTACCCATCGTTCAGCAAAGTTTGCTTTCTCTTTTGGTTGTAATATGGTTTGGAGTGGGATCCCTCCTGATCGTATCCGGATGCCCTTCTTCAAGACTCATCGACATTATCATTTATCTTTAAAAATAAAAAAGAGTAAGATAAATAACTGCCCGATTATTCTATACCAAACTTTTTAAGGTATGTCATATCCAAAATTAATAAATGCACGATATGACATGAATATTAATGATATCAGTAAAAAATACTCCTATTTCGCTAATAAAGCACATTACAACTACAACAGATAGTTGTTTCAGCGAGGAATTAACCCTTGAAGTTTGAACATATTATGTGCAATGTGACTGGCCACAAAACAAACCTACTCTAAATTATGTAAGTCAATTGTGTCAGTTTTCACACCAGTGAGATTTTCATCGTATCTACGTCCCTTTTTTCATCGCTTGAGCTGCCTTCTTCAAAACCCTACCTATCACCTTTGTGATAATAAGGGTGTCTCTCTTCAACTCATTCCCGCCACCCTTGCGTTCTTTGTTGTAGTACCCTAGATTGCACCCTTCTTTCTGGCTGTGGGAACTGGATGAGCGCTGGCTTAGGGAATTAAAGATATCGATATCGCTCCGGTATGCATCAACCAGTAAGTGGCTTGGTTGTGATTGTCTGCCCAACTCGTTCAAGGTAATGCCACATTGTAGATAATCAGCACCAGCCATTGCAAGAGCTTCAATTGAAGGCGGCATGTCGATTTTATTTTTGGAACTGCAGAAAGAATCTTAACTGTATTGAGGACAAGTCCTTCAGGAGTATATGTAGAGGAAATTAAACGTATTTCTTGTCCAACGATATTTCGAATTGGGTAACATTCTTTATTTTCTTTTAGATTTTCAGTTAGGAAAGGATTACTAGTCCTATTTCTCTATTTGATTTGGTCTAACTTCATGTTTCCTACTTTGATATGGTCTGACTTCCTACTTCTTACTTCCACTCTTCTTCGCCACTGTTTTCATACTACAAAATATATCAGGATTTGTTTTTAGATCTTAATCTCTATATTTTTCCTTTTTTCTCTCTCTCTCTCTCTTACAAGTGATATTGGGAGAGATGGCATAAGATTGACACGTCTAAACCTTCCTCTTCGAAGCAGAAACAAACGTGGCCGAAACATATAAAGATCGGCCTAGTATCAAAGGGACAAATATCACTTAGAGTGATCGCAGACTAGATGTAATGTAAAACATAAGAAAAAAAAACACCTAACTTAACCACTTTTCGTGTTCTAACTTATTCTTAATTAGTTGCAAAGTTTCTTTGGTATCATTCTTCCTCTACAAAATCACCGGATTTTTTTTCTTTTTCCACAAGTTAGTCTTGAGTCATTTAGTATTATGATCTAATAGTATTTTTATTTACTTATAACTTGTAAGTAAGAGATTTTAAGTTCATATTTAGATAATGGCGAGTTCACAACCAATTTACTCTCTTGTCTGTCAAGCCCCATTTGTTTCACCCTTGTAGCTAGAATTGAACAAGTTTTAGGGACTACGCTAAACTGACTTGGCTTGGACTACGTTGTAGAAGAATTATGAAATGTTGCAGTGTCAAACAAAGCTACATACTAGTGCATTTAGAGATTCTGAGAATTCTGAATTATCGATCCAAATTTTTCTGAAGTGCTCCGAACCGATTACGATAGAAAACCTTTTGAAATAATCCAACTTTTAAAAGTTATTTACTAAAATTATATATTTTGTAATCAACCATTATATTTTATTGTTAGTTTTGGATACATTATGTTCATAGTTTTTATATTAAACATGCCTTTATATATTAAAAAAAAGAGGACGGATCCATGACACCACTTCTTTTACACAACTTTTTACACGTTGTAGGGCCCCCCCACCCCGGTGCGGCCGCTCCTTAATTCAATGGTCATATGAGTTTAGGTTTTGGTGATTTTTGGTAGACATGATCTTTGAGAGAAGACTTAAAAGATAGACAATTCGGATAGTTGAATACATTACGAAGTCGTGCCCAAAAAATGTGTCTAAATTTGTGTAAAAAAATATATACCAAATATTAAGAAAGAACAATAAATTGCACGTACATAAAAAATTTAGAATCTTTAAAAACTTATAAAATATATAATTTTCCAAAATTTCCAAATTTACTCCAATTCCAAAATTTTCAAACATGCCGATAATTCCGAATTTAAAAATTATGATATAATCCAATTTAATTTCTGAAAATTGAAAACGTTGTTTCAAATGTGAAACTTACGAATAATATAAACCCTGTTAGAAAAAGGCTCTAATTCCTTCAAGTTTGAAGCTATGTGGTTACGTCATCCTAATTTTAGGAATTTTGTCAAAAGTGCTTGGACTTGTACAAATGCTTCAAAGCCACAAGAAAAGTTTGTTGCTTGTGCAGGGACATTCAAGTATTTGGTAAGGAAGTGGAACAAAGAGACCTTTGGTAATGTCAAAAATCGTAAAGATAAGCTTTTCTCTATGTGATATTCAAAATAAAATTATGAGGGATCAAAATAACTCTATAAGCATGAAGGACAAGGTTACAATTAGAAGTGAGCTTAACAGAGTTTTACAGGAAGGGGAAATTACGTGGCTGCAATTGGGAGATAAAAATACTAAATATTTTCAAACGGTGACTTCTATCCATAAGAAATGAAATGAAATAAAATAAAATATGTTAAGGATAGTAATGGTTTCTAGTGGAATTATGGGGAAGGTCTAGAGCAAGTTTTTGTGTAGGAATTTATACTACGTTTTTCTTGTGATAGTTTCCCTTGTTAGGAAACATTGGCTACAATGGTTGATATCATAACTCCTTGCATTGATCATACGCATAATATGCAACTACTTGAATGTATTTCAGATGAGGAAGTTTGGGAAGCGGTGAATAACATTGGTGCATTAAAAACACCTGGACCCGATGGTCTTTATGCTGCTTTTTACCAAGGTTGTTGGGAAGAGGTTAAAGATACTATTATTCCTATGATTAAAGATTTCTTTCAAAATAATTCAAGCCTAAGGGTTATTAATCACACAAATATTGTTTTAATCCCAAAGGTGGATAATCCTGAAACTGTCCAATTATAGACTCATTGGTCATTGTAATGTTAGTTATAAAATTATAACAAAAATTATAATTAAAAGGCTTAAGCCTTTGCTTGACCTATGCATTTCTGCTAATCAAGGTGCTTTTACTCCGGGGCGTTCCATTCATGATAATATCTTAATTGTCCATGAGTTATTTTCCAGCTTCAAGGTAAACAAAGGCAAGACGGGGACCATGGGTGTTAAACTGGACTTGGAAAAAGCCTATGACCTTTTAAATTGGGATTACATAAGGTATGTTCTAATTCGCTTTGGTTTTAATGAGAAATGGATCAACTTAATAATGGAATGCATTACATCAACTTCTTTCTCCATTTTAATTAATGGCTCTCCACATGGTTATTTCTATCCTAATCGTGGCATACGACATGGTGACCCCTTATCACCTTACATTTTCATTTTATGTATGGAACCGCTTATTAGACATTTTAACGGTTGTCTTCTACTCCTAAATCCCATGTGGGAATCCTATCATCTCCTGGGAGATTTAGAATTTCGAACCTAGTTTTTGCAGATGATTGTCTACTTTTTGCCCGAGCTACCCCTAAAGGGGCTAGAAATATCCTTCAAATCCTATAGATGTTTCCACCAGCTGCAAACAAGTAAATTTTCATAAATCTTCTATTTATTTTTCAAATAATACTATCAACCAGGATAGGAACAATATTGTGAATATCTTGTGCATTCAACATTAAACCACTATTGGGAAGTACTTAGGGATCCATAATATAGTTTTCTGGAAGGATCATGTTAACGAGATAGAATTAATTAAATGGGTGAAGCAAAAACTTGCTGGGAGACTAACTCTTATTACTTATAATCTCACCGGGATGCCGAATCATGTAATGTCTTGTTTTAAGTGCCCCAGTAGGGTAACAACTAAAATTGATAAAGAATGTAGAGATTTTTTTTGGGGGAGAAATACTAAACTCAGACCAATGACCTGAAAGAAGGTTTGTTCTCCAAAGAATCAGGATGGCTTAGGAATCAAATGGATTGATCATTTTAACAAAGCTTGTTTAGCCAAATTAGGTTGGAAAGTTTTAACCAACAAAGGAAATTGGTGGGCTGAAATAGTCAAAACTAAATACTTACGTAAGTCCGATTTTTTAAATTCGAAGATTAAACACAAATGCTCACTTGCTTGGAAAGACATTCTTTCTAATAGAAAGATCATCCATGAGGGAATGAGGTGAAGACATACTCTTCTGGACCCATCAATGGGTTTTTCCTTACCCTCTTTTTCATTTAATTCCCGTGAATGATAGGAATAATATTGATTGGAATCTTAAAGTAAGCAACTTTATAATTCATAATAGTTGGGATAACATTAAATTAGCTACTGTAATTGATGATGAAATCATTCGAAAAATTTGTCGCATTCCCCTCCCTCTACAGGTTTAACCAATAATGGGAACTTTTCCATTAAGTCTGCTACTTGGCTACAAAATCGGAACAATTACTCTAGTAATCGCCTTACATTGTTAAAGAAAATGTGGAAGCTAACTATTCCTCCTAAAGTTAAAATGTTTGCTTGGCTTATGATTCAGGAAAGATTGCAACCCAGAAAATGCTTAAGTCGTTTTGTTAAAAATATTGATAAGTTATGTCTTTTGGTAGTTTTAATAATTGTAACATAAGTACTAATGATAATTTTTTTGATTGGATGGAATCCTTAAGTTCTAATGACAAAGACGGTCTTTCTGATCTTAGTAAAGGAATTCTGAACAGCTGGCAAATCTGGATGAAAAGAAATAACTTAGTGTTCAGAAATGTGCCCTCGGTCCCCGCACATTGTGTTTCTATAGTCGGTAATGTTGGTTCGACTTTTCTCAAGACTAATAGGAAGTGTGACCCCAATGAGGATTTACCTATCTCTTCCTTTGTTAAATGGCATCCTCCTGATCGACATGATGTGATTAAACTCAATTTTGATGGTTTAGTTTCAAACAACTGTGCTGCTGCTGCCTTTGTGCTCCGTAACAGTAATTCACAGGTGATTAGGGCGGGGGCTCTTAACCTTAATGGTGCTACTATTTCGGTAGTAAAAGTGATGAGTTTGTGAAAAGGGCTTCAATGTGCTAGCGCAAGGGTTTAACCAAAGTGGTGGTGGAGGAGGACTCTAAACTCTTTGTTGAAGCTGTGCAGGGTCATTGGGGGGATTCCTTGGAGAGTCAGCTCTATAATCAATGATATTCGTATCTTGGCTCGGTCCTTTAGTCATGTTGATTGGAAGCACATTTTCAGGAGACAAACTTTGTTGTAGATGCTTTAGCTCACCTTGATATCTCCCTCTCGAATCCTCATTATTGGGATTACTATTTACATGATGTTGCTTTTTCTGACTTTAATTTTGATTGTATTGGAAACGGTTGTACTAGAGGTTTTGTACTTTAATGAATTTCTTTGCATAAAAAAAAAAAAAATCCAAAAAACACTTGTAACTAAGCGGCACACTCAAAATCGACGGACCTACCCCAACTGGTATCCTCAACGTCTTTATGTGACTCCCCCAAAATCACTCTGTTCCATCAAATGTATCTCCAAGACGTTGCAATGCCAAAATCACTCTGTTCCATCACCTAATGCTTTTTGCTCGATCAATTGTTGTCAAACCTCTAGAAAGCATGGTGTTGCGACTTGCAAGTAATCAGATACGATGAAGGCAATGGCGCCTTCGGACACCTACAAAAACCAACATGTTCTTAGTTTCTCGGAAGAATTGTGAGTCCTAACATATATGCATGATACATTTTGTCGATCTCAATGTGGTTTGCTTGAAACAGAGAATGAAACCCGAACGTTGCTTCTTAATCAATCCGGGATGGAATGGGATTCAATAACACAAGATTGTTCGTGTTTCTCTTAATTACAAAGCAGTTGCTCCTTCCACTTATACAACGGAAGAGTTTCATATATACAGAAGATCTTGTATTGGGGAAGACAAACAGCTCGTGGCATTCGAGACTCGAGAGACACCAGCATTACCTCCACCTGATTTAAGTGTAAGTGTCTATGGAGACGTTCATTGTTCGATAGTGGAGGCAGTTAACACAAGTAGATTTGACTTGAAAAAAGAAGAGCTTAATTGGATGCCTCGTCCTATGAACAGCACTTTCTCTCTGAGAGAGGATCGTCTACAGCCATCCTTCATACTTGCTCATCGTATGATGAGAACATCGACATTGAGATGCGGATGTTGCAAGATTTTGATAAGAGTGGACAAAACCAGAGATGGTAATGCGCTTGCATTTTCTTTAGATCCATCTCCAATAGAGAGGGCTAAAGGTCCAAGAGACAAAAAAATGGCCTGATTAGTATGGCCTTAGATGAAACCGGTATTAACCCAAGCCATCGGAACTACACAGTCCAATATTAGCGCAATTTCAAATGCTAATTTGATACGCAGGCTCACAAGTTCACAGTCAAAACAGGATGGAGAGCTCCATTATTGCCGGCATTGCCGACGGTCGATGCATCCACGAGAGGACATGAGTTTGAACTCTCACTCTCAACAAGCGCCCTCACGAGTCACATCAATTAAGCCTAATACGGGTTTCACACTCCCAACACCACCATGCAATGTCTCTTAATTTCCCGATTCACACTCCCAACAAGCTAATCAAACAAGGATTTACAGTTTTTTATCTTCCAAACCTTGGATTTAACAGCAAAGGATGAAAATAACAGAAATTAAAGTTATCGTCATTTCAAATCCTTTTATTGCAATTAGCTCCTCCAAATTTTACCAACAAAAAAAAAAACACAAAATCCATCAAATATGCTAAAAAATTAGGGTTTATAGTAAAAACAAAAAATTAGGATTTTACACAAGAAAAAGAAAAATTAAAGAAAAAACAGAGAATTTAAAGGGAAGATTGAGATGTTCCAAGCAAGGGATAGCCAGAAAAGCAAGAAATACTAATCCGGCATTGAACCCCAAGACTATGGAATCAATTTATGCCTCCAGAACAAAGCATTGCAAGAAATTGATCGAAAGATCTTAACCCTTGCAGCCGAAAGAAGAGGCATTTCCACGTCAATTAATTCGCATCCTAATCATGCTTAATTATTGCTTAATCTACACAAAGAAAACAGAGAGACACGGAGAACGCGGAGAGAGGCGGAGAGAGGGGAGAGGAGGGAGAGGTTGGAGGATGTGGAGGTTAATCGTGTGTTTATATAGGCGCTAGCTTAAAACCCTAGCGCCGATGTTTGGGATTTTTGTAGACCGAAACTCTGGTGTATTAGCCGGACCTCCTGCTTCATATCATATTTGCATATTGGTACCCCTGAAAAGTTGGGATTTATGATTTCGCCTCGTTTATTTTTTGCTTGAAACTGGGAAATTTTGCCATAAACCGATTTATCGACCGAATAATACATGTTGGTTCATAATGATATGGTATAGTTTTGGTATTTTTTTCATAATCGGTTAGCATTATACCGAACTAACAATTAATGGTATGGCTTTGGTATTGGATTTTGTATACCGGCAGTATGCCATACCTACCAATATATATATATATATATATATATATTCTATTTAGATATGTTAGGTATTTTTTACATGCTTGACATGTGGAGAACTGGAAAAATGTAAGTATTGCTATATTTTTTCCAATTCTAATTATAGTACTTCAATCCAATATTTATTGATATTTTTAATTTATTATTCAATATTACTTCTTATTCTAATCATACTTTTTTTTTATGTAACATTTGAATTGAAATAGTTGATGGTTCTACATCTCAAGCAGGAACATCAATTCCAAGTGCTTCGAAGAATTGATTCATGGAACATTTCACATGCATTGGTTGATGCTACTTCAGTGATGTTGCATTATCAAAACAACAAGTTATTTGTTTTGGGATTATAATAGGGGGATCTTATAACCAGAACCATACTTTTGAGTTTTGAATTTTTTGTTTATGCATTAGTTGCTACAATTGAACTTAGACAATTATATTAGTTAGACTTTTGAGTTTGTGAACTTATAACTATTTGGATTATGTTTGCTGACATTGTTGTTGGCTTATTAAGTTTTGATTTGATTTTTATTTTAATTTGTTAAGTCATGATTATGTTGGCTTATCATCAATTGAAAAATTGCAACAGCCACTTCTTTTTCTCTTTTTTGGTTTGTAGTTTACGGGTCAGTGCATGGGCTTGAGCTATTATTTTTGTAGCTTAGTTGCAAACCATCGATTGTGCTATTTACCAACCGAACCATCCAATAATTTTGGCTGAACCGATTTTTGGCAACCGCAAGAAGACGGTTGGCTAGCAATAACTGATTTTCGGTAATTATGTATATGTGGTTGGTATGTGGCATAAGGAATTTGGCACAATTTGTCAACCGAACCCAGCCCTACTTGAAACCTACCAAATGTCATGTCTGAAAAATAATAATTTTGAAACCTGCCAAATGTCATGTATGAACAATAATAATTTGAAGAAAATAGGAAAAGTCTACAAAATATTTTGGCTGATTTTAGCTACGTGGAAACTTGATTACGTTGCTTTATGAAACTCAAAAGTCATCATTTTATTTTTCGAAATTCATAATGTGTTCCATTTTGATTTTGATCCCATTTTCCCCTTTAAAACTTGAAAGTTGTCTCTATAAAATTCAAAATTCGCTATACATTGCCTTAGATCTGTTAATTTCTTATGTGAGTTTGATTTGGGTTTGCCAATCTAATCATTTTTTTAAACATTTTTACCATCTCTTTAATTTCTTTTAAAATTAATATTCTATGATTGTTGAATGTTAACACATAATGGAGATTTATAATCAAAATTATTGCACATGTGGCATAGTCTTATTGGGTGTTAGGTCCCACGTATATTTTAGAAGACGACCTATAAGTTTCAGGAAGAAGATCCACTCGACTACCGATGGGCGATGGTATTGCATCTGGATTGTTTTGTGAGCTTTTTACATGGAAAGAGTTGTCCACAGCGTGGCTTGTGTTTGCAGATGACTGCGCGGGATGGGTACAAGTCATTCCATTTCCAATAGGAATTGACTGCCGTCACATCTGGTTTTCTCTGCCATGAACAAAAAACTGCTGCATAGGAATGCTGTTATTAGTGTTAAAGTTACTACGATTTGAACCTCAACCAAAAGGGTTAGCCGCAACTGTCTGCTTTGCTTTTGCATAGCTAGACTGCCCCAGATGCACCACTAGATGTATTAGCATGAGGAGAACTCTCACTCGCAACTGGAGGACAAGTAACCTGCTGCTTTGACGCTGGAAAAGGTAAAGATTATGCAGCCATGTTGCTTTCATTAGCTTTTCATTGAGCAGCAACCCTCAACTGCAACAGTGGAATGAGCTGTGGCATCAAGTTGGCATTTCCAGGCTGTGAAAGATCAAAATTGTGCTCAAAGTGCAAATGCTTGCAACTGAGCAGCCAATGCAATGTGGTTATTTGGCATGTTTGGGCACTTTGCTGAGATTGTGGTGCCAGCCCTAGCCTTAAAATGTTTTCGGGCATGAACCCATGACTGACGGCTGGGCTAAAGGCTTCGATTGTCCTTGGTCCATCTGCTTTTCTCCACGATTAAAATGTTCCAGTGCCTGATTAGTATGCAGTTAACAAAAGCGTGTAATAATTATCCGTAATTTGGACCAAACCTCACAGTTTGAACAATGTCTATGCACAACTTAAAAGTCCTAAAACGAATGCAATCTTCGACTACAGTTGAAAAGTGTCCTACTGGTAAAGAAAATATTGCAGGAAATGGTTAAAACACATAAAGCAACTCAAATGTCGTAATGACTATAACATATAAAGCAAACTCAGGCAGATATGTTTCACTCCATAATAAAAAGGGAGGACTGAAATTTTAAAATACAATAACACCAGTGAAAGGCATAATCACAGTTCTGAAAGATTTTTAAACATCATCCAAACAGTTTAACTTATTGTGTTTCGATAAATAAAGTTGAAATGAGAAATCCTGATTATTGGAAGAGTTGGTGCGATGAAAGTCATTCTCGCTACTTCTAAGCTTGGATAGACCATGACATCAGACAAACAAGAAGGCATGCTGAGTGCAGAGACCAACTCCAAGGAAACAAACTATCAAATATACAAAGATATTAACAGAAGGTAGATCCTCCAGTGATTGACCCATGTCCTTTTTAAGAGAGAGTTCCTATATTCAATGAGACTCCCTGTTATCTTGTGCATTGTATCATCCAACCTTTAGTTGGAAACATGAAAAACCCAGTAATAATGCAATTTCACAAAGCAAGCACAACACAGTTAAAATAAACCGCAAAAACGCAGAAAATTAATCCAAGGAGACCAGTAAAGTTATATTCTAAGGCATAGTAGGATGATCCAATTTAGGGTTTGGTGTTTGTATTTCGGTTTATTTTACCATATCCAAATGACGATATTTTCTTGCAAAGAAAATATCTTATGGTATCGCTTCTTGATTTGCCACCAACGGGAGAACTTTGCAGGATAAAACTCAAATGTACACAATATACTGAAAGATGAAGCACAGCTCTAACAAGGAAAATAGTGAAGATTGAGTACTCATTTGTTCAAGAAAAACCAGTCATGTCCACTCAAGTAGTTACGTCATTTCATTAGTATTTACACATTGATTGAACTTTCCACACATGAGAGCTGTAAATACCTGCCATGTTAAAGACAAATCCACCTCTGTTTTCAATGCTGCCTAGTTCGGTATTAAGCTCATGTTCTGTAGACATCTGCACTGCCTGATAAACTCTCTTGGAATAACTCTGTGTTGCTAGGTCCATCTTCCCTTGCACACCTTCTTTTCATAACATCCGCTTTTTCTTGTTCCCAAAACAGTTTTGAATCAGAGGACATATTGTTTAGATTCTGGGACATAATTTCCCGATCTCGCTTGTCCATCCTTTCTCTCAGGAGTACCTCATCTTGTTTTCGTGCATACTCCCTTTCTGTCGCAAGTGCCTCATCTCTTAACCTCTCCCGCTTGATATTAATTTCACCTTGGCGAACAAGTTCTTTTAAGAACTTTGCACATTCATTGAAGGAACCCCCCTTTTTACCTCTTTTCTTCGCAACCTTCTTACCCACAGGAATCGACCTTTTTTCAGTTGGTGACTCCTTTTCAACTGGGGACTCCAACGGCAAATCTCCATTAGGTGAATCGTGCCGTGGCACCTCGTTTTTGACAACGGTTGGACTATTGGAAACAATTTTAAATCTCGGACATCCCTTCACAACGGCCCAGCAATTGTGATGTTTGAATGACTTATTCTTGTTGTCTGCACTATACAACAAGAGTGCTTGTAGTGCCTAGAAAAACATTGCAAGAAATAAAATTTAATCATCTACAAAACGGCATTACACATTTAAATTAAAAAAAAATGAAATTTAAATTCTACTACCTGATGAGTAAGATTTTTGCCACTTTGAAAATCATCTTGAGCTTTTTCCAAGGCGTTTCTCCAGCTGCGTAACTTTTTGTTTAGAGTTTTCCACCTGCTAGAAATACTTTGCTCCGTGCGAGTCGAATTGCTCCTCTCGGAAAACTCTGCACGGATTTGTTTCCACATTTGATTAAGCTTCAATTCGCTACCCGTAAGCGGGTCATGAGCAACACGAACCCAACACTCGCACAACAAAACATCCTCCATAGTCGACCACGAGGTGCCCGGTTCCATGGTGAAATATTGCCAGCAAATAAAATGGTAGCAGGAAAGCAAGAAATGCTAATCCGGGTTTATAACCCTACAACTATGAAATCAATTGATGGCTCCAGAACAAAGCATTGCAAGAAATTGATCGAAAGGAGAGGCATTTACTAGTCTTACCAGGGTTTCAAGACCCATTAAACAAAACCCACGTCCTAATCAACATCCTAATCATGCTTATAGCGTAAAATACACAGAAAGAAAACAGAGGGAAACAGGAAGGGATTTGTATTTGGATTGGTTAGTCTAGGATTGGAATGGATAGGTTGGGATTATTGTCAAGTGTTTGGATTGAATCGAAGACTGTAACCAAAAAATGACTCTGTATTTCCAAATCCAACATGAGCCCACCTGGAAATCAGACCCGCAGCCACTCACCCACTATCAACCCACCTGACGAACGCTGGAATTTGGAATTTCAATACCCACAGATCTGAAAATAGTGGTTGAAATTTCAATACCCACCAATCTAGAGAGAGAGAGAGAGAGAGAGAGAGAGAGAGAGTTGTATTGAAAAAGTCGGTGGGGGAGTTTTGATTACAGTCGGCGGACGACAGCTTGTTCAACTACGGAATCACCAGAGACCGTTAAGTTCAATGTCAGCTCTCCCAGATGAGCTGTGAGCCTGTGGAGGAGAATTCTGGAAAATTAGAGTGAGAGGGAGAGAGAGAGAGTAGATGACGACGGAAAGAGGAAGACGATGAGAGTATAGAGCGGCGCCGCGCGACTCGTCTCGGTCTCAGGATTCATAGCGCGCGAGGTTTTGCTTAGGAGTGTGATATCACACGTCCTATTCTCCTTCTCACACATTTTTTTAATTTTGATCGAATAAATTAAAGAAGATCAACGAATAAAAATTATCAAAAAGTATGTAAGATGTAAAATGGGATGATGTGAAAGCGCCTCTCTCTATATAAGAACGGTGCGCTCCGAGGTGTGAAGTGGGTGTGAATAGCACATTCCTTTTACCTATTGTAGATAGACCTGTAAACAAGTCAGGTTTATTAGATTTGGGTCAGGTTTAACCAAATCCGTTAATTTAACGGGTTATTCAAACTTAATCCTTTAAGTTACCGAGCTATCCAAACTTAATCTGTTAAGCTAACGAGTCATTCGTTTCACCTATTAATTTTTTTTGTTTTTATTTTTTATTCTTAACATTGCATCCTCCGCTGCTTTTTTGCCTTTAATATTCACCTTTATTGTAACTAAAAAGGTCGTATCCAGTGCACAAGGCTCCCGCTTTACGCAGGGTCTGAGAGAGGTGAATGTCGGCTAACCTTACCCCTATTTATGAAGAGGCTGCTCCCAAGTCTCGAACCCGAGACCTACCGCTCATGGACGAAGGTACTTGCCATCACACCAAGTGCGACCTACCATTTACCTTTATTGTAACTAATGAAAAGAAAACAAAGGAAAATAAACAAGAAGCATAATAACAACAATACAATCTGAAGCCTGTGAAGAAACAACAAAACAGAACCCAACAGAAACAAAACAAAAGGACAAAACTAATTAACGACAGCATCCCTATTAGAATAAATAAGTAGCACCAGTCCTTAATCTGTGAAGAATCCCAAAAATACACTCCCATTAAAAATCCACACCTTCCAACTTAGGCCTTTAAGAAATCTCCTATAATAAGCTTCTCCAAACAACCCAAAGCAATTTCAGTACATCACCACTGAACCTAGCACTAAGCCACCTTTCCTTTCTCCAAAAGACATAGTGTTAGAGTAAAATTGTCAGTTCCTAAACAAAACGCATAAGTCTGTAATATTAGACTAGTGCTTGTTTTCAGTTGTAATTATTTTAGTCTAAGTTTGTCTCACGTGCTCTCGATCACAAAATGGCAAGCGTTTCAGAGACATCCACTCAAGTAAGTTTGACATGCATATGCATTCACATGATATAAGTTTTTGTTCAATGGGCTGTTTAGCTTTGAAATTTAACAATTGAGATATGAGCTTTACATATTAATTAATTTGCTATGAGTTCGTTTAGCTTAATTAAAGGCCTACTTATTAATATAAGATTTATTTGGAGTTAGATGCTATGCATTTAAAATGAGGATAAATTCAAATGGTTTTGTTTTTATCTTGATCTCATCTATTTAGAGTTTTAAGTCATGTTGAAGTCTCCTACTGCAACTTATATATATATGAGATTACATTAGGGTTTTGGGTGTGCTGCAGCTAGATTAATAGAGTGCATCAAAATATGTTTTTATGTTTGCCGCATGCACTAGATCAGTTTAGGGTTGTCCATGCTGCTGCATATGCATGAAATTGGGTTTCTTAGTTAAAAACATCAAAAGGCAGTGGCGTTGGTTTTTGAGCAAAACGAATTGTTTTCTTATTGCTGCCATCTTGTGGTTTCAACAGCATGCGTGTTTAAAGAGAAAAAAAAAATTTATTTTCATGCTATTTTCATTTAAGGTTTTAATTGAATGTCAATTATGAAAATGTGCCTTGTGATTTTCGTAATTGATTGTTTTTCAAATAAACACTTCATCATATAATCATTTTGCATGATCGAGTTAGTATCTTGCAAAGTTCGAGGAAAAGGTGATTGACGATCGCGTTAGTGTCGTGCCACTTCAACTCGAAGGCTGAAGAGAGATCGAGTAGCAAAGCGCGGAGACAAAACTGCCTACTAGTATGCGGGTCTAGTTGATGAGTTTTGTAAGTCTTTCTGTACTTATTTCTCTTAGTGTTTGTCCTGGCTTGGGAGCCCGAGGATTTTCCCAGTGGTGGGTTTTGCCTCGTTAAATCCTACATCATGTGTGCACTTTTTATTTATCGTTTTAATTGCATATGAGTATGATAGTTTGATATGTGATGTGAATGTGGATTTAATTTGAGAACTAAAAATTAAATTGAAAATTGAATTGGATTTTTAAATTGGAACCTATTCACCCCCTATAGGTTAAATTAGTACCCATCCTAGAACTTTCAATTGGCACCAGAGCAGGTCACTAAAAATACCTAGTGAGATCCGTGGGTAGTCTAGGATGAATCGTCCTATGGGTTCAATTTCTCATCCACCACATTTTGATGGTGACAACTATGCTGCGTGGAAGGCGAAAATGAAATCGTTTTTGTGGGCGCAAGATGACAAGGTGTGGCTTGCTGTTGAAAAAGGTTGGAAACCTCCAACGATTGAAGAAACAAAAGATAAAGGAGAGTCCTCTGTGTCTATATCTAAGCTTAAGCCTAGGAAAGAATGGAGCAATGATGAGCGTAACTCTAGCACTTTTAACCAAAGGGCTTTGAATGCTTTATTCACAGCCGTTTTTCCTGAACAATTCAATTACATAAGTACGTGTACAACGGCGAAAGAAGCTTGGGACATTCTTGAAGTTACTCATGAGGGTAACTCAACTGTTAAAGAATCCAAACTTCAATCTCATCACAAAATTTGAAAATATCACAATGTCTGATGATGAAAGTTTCTCTGACTTTTATGCTAAGCTTAGCGTAATTGTCAATGGCTGTCACAATCTTGGTGATAGTATTCCTGAGCATAGGATTGTGAAAAAGATCTTAAGATCACTTCCTATGAGGTTTCATGCTAAGAGGACGACGATTGAGGAATCGAAAGATCTAAACACCTATAAGCTTGAGCAATTGATCGGGTCTCTACAAACGTATGAGTTAGAGCTTCCTGATTCCAAGAAGATGAAAAGCATTGCTCTCAATGCTGTCAAAGAAGAAGAAAGTGATGGCTCAATTAAAGACTTGTCCGAAGATGAATTGGTTGAATTAACCATGCAAATTAGAAGGTTTCTCAAGTCTCAAAATTCCAAGGGTCGTGAGCAACAAACCAACTCAGGTTCGAACTCAAAAAACTTTTGTTCCCTAGATGTCTTACATGACAAAGCCTCTAGATCATCTAGAACTAGTGAACATAGGAGTTCTAACAATAGGGTTCAGTGTCATGAGTGTCAAGGCTATGGACACATTGCTTTTGAGTGTGCAAACACTATCAAGAGAAAAGAGAAGAAGAATAGGGCAATGAAGGTCACTTGGAGCGATAGTGATTCAGGGGATGCATCTACGTCGGAATCTGAGAAGGATACGATTGCGTTTATAGGAACTGTTGATGGATATGACACAGAAGGTTCATTTGTTGAAGAACCTGACTTGGAAGAAGTCTTGAGAAAATATTCTGATCTCTATGACATCAGTGTGCAAGTAAAGAAGGATAACTCTAACTTGAAGAAGAAACTTGCACTTGTTGAAAATGAAAAGAAAGAAGCTGAAGTTGAGCATCAATCTCAGTTGGACAATGGAGAGAAATTGCGAGAGTCGCTGTTAGAGAAGATTCACGTTCTACAAACCACAATTAACACTTTCTCGTCTGATAAGAAAGCTCTTGAGGACGAAGTGGTTGAGATGAGAAGAAAAGTTCAGGAGTTGAGCATAGGTTCCGGGAAAATTGACAAGATGCTTAGCTATGGGAAAAGTTTTGAAGACAAAGGAGGTCTAGGATTTGAGTCGACAAAGACTACAAGTTCTTCTTCTTTCACTAGATTTGTCAAAGCCTCTAATATTCCTAGTTTGAAAGTAGGTGACGATAAATGTTTAGGTCTTACTCCCGAAACATCTACAATTTTTGCATGTGTCAAATCATGTCAAGACTTCAATTAATCTTAACAAACCCAAACAATCTAGGAAGTTCATTCCTATATGTCATCTTTGTGGGATTCTTGGTCACATCCGGCCTAAGTGCAATAAGCTTAGAAAGAAAATTTCTTCTCAAGAAAAAGTTTCAAGGAACTTTGAAAAAGAAAATCTTAAGGAACAATTTGTGACTTATTTGAAAGAGATTAATCGGATTGCAAGAATTATATCTGTTCCAAGTACGGTAGTTCCAAACGTGAGACAAGTTTGGAGAAGAAAAGAGAATCAAAGTGGTGTACTTGTCAATTTATCTCCACCTTCAAGTTGTTTATATTGACTAAGCTCTCTCTTTGCAAATGTTTTCATTAATGTATGCTTGCATGTTCATATAGCATAAATACTGCATTTTTTATCTTTCTTCTTGTTAAAAAAAAAATAAAAAAAAATAATGTATAAGGAAAAATGGAAAAGTATGATTTCATGAGTTCTAGCTTTGTTCACTTGATAACATGACCCTAGCATGATATGTTTGACTCTATTGTGGACAATAGTCTCGTGTTGATAATATATCAATGATAATGAGTTGAACATGTTTAACTTGAGTGAAACCCACACCCATGTGAGCTTTTGTGCCTAAATATAGTGTGTGCATTTTTCATACACTTTTTTTTTTATGTGTGTGATCTTATGTGTTTTGCTTCTCTAGAACTTGCTTTGAGACCTCTCAAAACTTTGTATCATATATTATTCTATTTTGGAGACGATAGTAGGCATTAGGACTTACCATCATTGCTATATGCCAGTGCCTTACTTGTTTTTCCCTAGTTAGCCCTTTTGAGCCTATATGTAAGCCTTTTGTTCTTAAACCTACATTTTCCTTACCTAGCCTCTTATATTAAAAATTCCCTACCCTACTAAGAAGCTAGTAGAGTACGTTTTTCAAAAGAGAGAGTTCAAGGTTATTTAAAGATTGAAGATGCAAATTTTGTGAAGAAAGCCAACTACAAATGAAGAGCAAAAGAAGAAAAGATGAAAAGAAGTCACTACGAATCACAAGTGAGCTGCCAACATTATAAGAAATCAAGTGTGTCATTGTAAATGAAAAGGAAGAATCATCATAAATCAATTGTGCAGTTATATGTT